GCGCGAAGAAGAGGAGGCGCTCCCGAATCATCAGAAGTTTACAGCCTCGCTCTTCAGCCGGGCTCCCAGGCGCAGCCCCGAGGAAAGCCTGCAGCGAGGCGCCCCGAGGAAAGCCTGACAAATCTCCTCTGGGCACGAACCGCCAGGTGGGCCAGTCCACGCGGAATGCTTCACAGAGATCGATGCCGCCCAACTCCGCCCAGCACTCGCCAGCCAGATCCTCGACGGCCCCAGCGCTGGTGCTGCTGCGGGTGCTGCCGCCGCCGCCGGCGCTGCCGCCGCGGCCGCGGCGGTGTCCGAAGCTGGTACCGTTGCTGGCGTGTCGGCAGACGTGAGCATCGCAGGGCTCGCAGACCTACAACCACCCGCCCGCGCTGGCGCCATCGCAGAGCAAGCATCGCGCGCCGTGCTCCGCTCGGGCCGTCCGCGTGGTTCTTCCGCAATTTGGGCACTGAGGGCCCAGATGCCGTGCTTCACCGACGCGGTCGCCGGCCCATCCGCACTGCCACGTCACGCGGTTGCGGCGCGGCTCCCGGCTTGCGGCAGGGCAGGCTGGTCCGACGCTTCGCCCGACGTCTCTCCCCCCGCCTCCAGGCCGGCCCGCCGTTCGAAGCAAGGCTCCGAGGAGGGCGCACGGCGCACACGGCGCGCAGAGGCGCTCCTGGCGCCTGCTCTGCCGCCACGGCCTCGGCGCGCGAGGCGGGCCTCGGCGGCCCGGCGGGGCGTGCGACGCCCTTCCCGCCTCCTCCCGGCCGATCCGCGGGTCGGAGCCGGACTCCGAGGTGCGCAAGCGGCGCGGGCGGCGCGCCGCGGCCCCGGCGCCTGCTGCCGCCACTGCCTCGGCGAGGAGAGGCGCACGAGGCGGGCCTGGGCGGCCGGGCGGCGCGCGCCACGCGTCCCTCCCCGCTCCTCCCGGCAGCTCCGCGGGTCGGAGCCGCGCTCCGGGAAGGACGGCTTGCGCGGGCGGCGCGCCGCCGCGGCGTTCCCGGCGCCTGCTGCCGCCACGGCGTCGGCGGGAGGTGTACCGAGGCGGGCCTGGGCGGCCCGGCAGCCCTGCCGGCATCCCTCCCCCCTCGTGGCCAACCTGCGAGTCGGAGCCAGGCTTCGGACAGGGCAGGCGGTGCGGGCAGCACGGCGCAGGTCCTGCAGCGCCGGGGCCGCCGCGGCGGGGGGCGCCTCGGAGTCCGCGACGTGCATGGGACCGGCATGGGGGCCAGCCTCGGGGCCGGCCTCGGAGCCCGCCTCGGCGCCAGCGCTCGGACCAGCTCCATCCATCATCGGAGGCCGTTTTACTTCCGCCGGCTTCCTTTTTTCCTTGCCGACCCCGCCCAAGACGCCGAGCCTACAGGACTCCTGGAGGTGCCTGGCAGCCTCGAGGGCCTTGGCGTCGTCCTCGGCCTCGTCGAGCTCCTCCATCGGCTCCTCCTCGCTCAGGTCCACCTCCTCCTCCAACAGCTCCTCCTCCAGCGCCGCGGCCCGGGCGCCACGACCTGGGGGCGCCTGTGCGCCGCCGTCCAGCGGGAGCTCCAGCGGCCCGTCGACGCGTTCCTCCGGGCTCTGGCCGCCTGGGGGCGCGCCGCAGTGCCGCCGCAGCGCCGCGCAGGCCTCCAGGCCGCGCCGCCGGTAAACACGCGGGGCCGGCGCCGGACGTGGGCCTGGGCCAGCGCAGCCGCTCCCCGGGCACCAAAGCGTGCGCAACATCCGCCATGAGTGCGCTGGGCAAGTAGAGCCCGTCCGCCGGGCGCGCATCGCCCGTACCTCCTCCGGGCGCCCGCTGCCTCTGCCTCGCTGCTGTGATGCCACAACAAGATATGCGAGTGCGGGGAAGTTTGGATCTGGAATACATGATCTTAACTTGATCATATTAACTTAATATTCCA